AATGAGTGCACGAAAGCCGGAAAGTTCGAAGAGCTTCCTTCATTACACTCATGCATTAAAATTGGATTCTGATAATTATTCATTGTATTCAACAGATCTTACGCTTTCTTAAAAATACAACAACATTATCTTGCTTTACAAGATGCTGAGGAAACCATTAAAAGAGCACCCACTTGGGCCAAGGTAATAGAATATAATTATATGCTATATGGTGAAACAAGAGCTGCATCATATTCTATTTTTCTATTTTTAGGGATATTTTAGAAGGGCAGAGGTCCAATATGCTTGTTATTTATTTGCAGAAGCTTTGCTTTCATACACGCAAGCATTGCAATTGCAACCTGGAGACAGTACATTGCTTGATGCAGTAAACCGGGCTGCAAAAAGTGATGAGAATGAGATGAAAGGTTATTTAATATTAATTTAATATTGAATTCTTTATTATGTATTTAATATTGTTGAGAAACTGTATTTGTTCCACAGTTGATGCTCGGGCACCATGGTTGGGAGCCTTAATTGGTGTTATCGTTGGGATCTTAATTGTAATTGCTGACAGTGTGTTAACCAATAAACCATCACTCAAAGTATATATTTATTGAACTGGGAAACTTGTATGGAAGTTATTAAGATCCTTTTATTTATTTATTAAAATTATTTAATACAGCCGTCGGGGAACTGGGGTAAATTACTCCAAATGGGGAAATAATGGAATTTTTTGGGGTAAAAAAAGAATATTTATAACTGTACTTGCTACGTAGTAGTCTGTGCTCTAAGTCAGCTTCAGTAAAATAAAAATAAAAATTACATTTGGTTTAAACTAAATTTTTAGTTATTGTATCTTTTCAATATTATTATGGAGGGCTATAACATAAAAAATAAAAGACAAAAGTTCATTTTTTTGCTTTTTTCCATGGGTTGATATAACTTATACAGAAAGATTTTGGGGTAATGATTTAAAAAATTCTCCGACCTTTGATTTAAAAGAATAAGTAATTTGGTTAAAATATTTTATTCAATTCCAAAGAAGATACTATAATTTTCAGTAGTATGAAGTCCTTTTTTACAATATTAGTGCTATCTTAATATTGGTTACAATTAAAGTAAAACTTTTTCGATTAAAGAAGGATATAACAAAAATACAAGTTTTCCATTTTCATTTAATTTATAAGCTTAATTAAATATCTTATTAGTATCTAAATTTTTAGAATCCACTTTTAATGATTTTGGTGATGTTTGCAATAAGTGCCCTTGGTTATGTTATTGCCCGTGGTATAAGAGTTTATATAAAGAGCCAAAGAAATTCTTTACTACAGCCTCCTCCCGATTTACTTGCTGGTAATTATTGACAAAATTTAGAGAAAACAAGTTTCTAAATTTTCATTTAATGGTTAAATCATTTTTTTAGAAATGAATTCAGTAGAAGAAGAAACTGCAAATGTTTCAAATTCAACAGAAAGAAATAATACTAGATATACTAAAGCTCAAGCAAGACAGCGCTACAAAAAAGGGAAATCATGATAAATATAAAATAAATTATTATAAATTGAATTAAATGTTTTTATAAATTATTTATTATATTCTGTGATTTTTTTTAAACAAAAAAATATAATAAAGTAAACAGTTCTTTTAACACATTTGTTCTCATTTGCGCAAAACCATATTTATGATTAACACGTCGTCGGTACATTGCGCTTGTGGATGTGTTGGTGTAAGCACATTATGTAGGCATAATTTTGAATATTGACGTCCTCAGTCTTATCGTGACTTCCGAGGAGTTCAGTACGTTTTTAGTTGCTATTATATTTTTTTGATTCGATATAAATGTGTTTAATGTGCATTATTTCATTATAATTCGGGTGAAACATTTAAAAATCGGCGCCACATTTTCGCGCGGAGTGTGTGCCTATTGCAGCGCCTCTAACTACAGATTGGAATGGGATCTGTATCAGATGTATTAATGCGCCATAGCCTCGAAAACATTTTCCTAAAGAGCAGCACAATGCAGGGCAGGGCCTGTATTTGTTATTTATAATCAGTTGGATTTTCATGTGCGTTAATTAGAGTATGGAGCAGGGAAAATTAATTACATCAAGACTTTTTGTGACGTCTGTTGTGGAAAACAGAGACGAATTCGACGAGGTAGTTTACTTATTTTTTAATTATTTGACAAAGACAGTGTACAAGTCAGCCATGTTTAGCTAGTTCGTGTAAAGGCCGTGTCGTGCGCTGTCATGCAAAGCGCGACATTTGAATTGTCCAACAAATTTGTGCAAAATTGTGACAATTTATAGTGCAATCTCTTTTGTTTTACACTCTTAATACGTGGAAAAGTGTTTGTCATAATGTCAACGTTTCCTGCATAAAAAACATCATTTGGTTTAGGCTTAAATAAAGCTTTTGGGTTTTATATTTTTTCTTGACAATATGTGTTTTTGTATTATTCAAATTACAAAATATTTATCATTCAAAAGTGATTGAATAACTACGATTCTATTCAAAGAATAATTGTGATCATATATAAATTTTATGATATAGTGGTTTTTAAAAGATAAACTACAATTAAATTCAATTCTCACAGTATGTTTTCTATTTCAGAAATATGAAAGGGCCTATCAATCACTTCAGTCCCTTATCTCAGGATTGAGCGATACAGATGCACACGATGCTTTGACAAATGCTGTTTGCAAGGATAAGACTCATGAAGAGGTCTGTCTGGGACTTCTCACTGTCATTCTGACAGAGCCTCAAAATGCAGCCAAAAGTTACAGAGACTTAACAATGGTTTCAAGAGATGGTCTAGCTATAGTTCTAGTGCATCTTACAAATCTCATTCTTGAAAGGTACTTACGATTTCAAGATGTTGTCAGAAGTCAAGTATTGTGGTTAGTGCGTGAAATGATAAAAATGCTGTGAATAATGTGGATAATGTCTGTTGGAATGTCATGAGATTAGCTTCCGGGGGGGATATAACACATCGTAATATATTTTTGATTGAGAATTTATTGGATATTTTCCAAGAGCACAGAGCCTGGTTGGATAAATTTCCACTTCTGATAGGCTCTGTTGTTTATACATATCTTAGACTGATAGAAGATCACACATCCCCAGCTTTAGCCAATTTAAGAGACAGAGAAGTTAAATTTGTAGTCAATTTAATCAGGGAACGTTTTTCTGACATTTTAAAATTAGGTAGAGATTTTGTTCGTTTATTGCAAAATGTAGCTAGAATACCAGAGATCGAACAATTATGGAAAGATATACTTAAAAATCCAAAATCTTTATGCCCTACTTTCACTGGTATTCTGCAATTATTACAAACTCGCACATCTAGAAGATATTTACAATCTCGTCTCACGCCTGATATGGAAAGGAAATTAGTTTTTTTGACATCACAAGTTCGGTTTGGTAACCATAAAAGATACCAAGATTGGTTTCAGAGACAATATTTAGCTACCCCAGAATCACAGTCTTTGCGTAGTGATTTTATAAGGTTTATTGTTAGTGTTATTCATCCAACAAATGAATTACTATGTTCAGATATAATACCCAGATGGGCTGTAATCGGGTGGCTTTTAACAACATGTACTGCAAATGTGGCTGGTTCAAATTCAAAATTATCTCTATTTTATGATTGGTTATTTTTTAGTCCCGAAAACGACAATATAATGAACATTGAACCAGCAATTTTAGTAATGCATAATTCAATGAGGTCACATCCAGCTGTTACAGCTGCTTTGCTTGATTTTCTATGTCGAATAATTCCAAATTTTTATCCTTCACACACAGACAAAGTACGGATGGGCGTCTTAAATTCTTTAAGGCAAATAGTTGAAAAAAGAGTTTTACCTAATTTGTATCCATTATTTGATAATGTAAAAATGGACAGAGAACTAAAAGCAATGGTGAGAGAAACATTTAAAGAGTTTTGTGCACCTGAATCTTTTCCAGTGAATAAAATTGAGGATGTTAATTTAGAAACTAATAATACTAACAATCATATATTCACAAAAGATGAGGCTGTATTCAGTGATGAAGAGGATGATCCAGTTCCGATGATTATACACACTGGTTATGATACTGATGATGATGATATTCCTTTATCTAAAGTTCGATTAAAAGAAGAAGAAAAAGAATGTGAAGATGAAGAAGAAGAAGAAGAGGAAGAGGATCCTCTTGGATGCCTCCAAGGATCACTTCGCAATTTATCAGAACAGCTCTTACAAACAAAAACCCCAGAAGAAAAATGTTCTTCCGTTGAAGCAATCATAAAAGAAGTTCTGTTGATAAACAAGTTAGACGATGATACATTAGAAAGTTTAAGTGATTGTTTATGTACGGCTTTGCAAGACACAATTCATAAAAACATTTTCCCTGAATCAGTGAACGAAGATACTTTAAATGAAAGTATTAGTGGTCCTTTATTTGTGCTGTTCCGAACATTTTATCAGCTATATCAAAACGAAGACAAAAAAAGGCGCATTCTTATCAGTATTTTAGCTGAAATGTACTCCACAATTCCTCAGATAGGTTATTTATTGTTATATTTTTTAAAAGTAAATGGACAAAATGAATTTAGTAAAAGTTTAAGTGCAAATCAACAGTCTAGCAATAGTAAACAGAATAATCTCATAAAAGGGGCAGTGTATAAAGATTTCTCATTAACAATAGAAAAAAAATTAGATACGAGTTTATTGAATGATTTAAGATTGTGTCAGGAAGACAATGGAGAGTTGTTGTTGTGGTTAACACCAGAAGTGTATAGGGAGTTCAAAACAGTGACTATAAACAATATTTCGATTTTACATGTGATTGTGCAAACGGTGGATGCAGGTCAGTTGCAGGACTTGGTCTGCCATATTCTGCAAGGGCGATTGGTTATGTTCAAGAACGAAACATTGCAACCGCTTCTCCTGGCAAGTCTGATGTGGGAAACATTCGAACAGTATGCTCTGTGGCAGCTGATAGCAGCCCACGATGTTCCTTTAGAGAATCTATTACCAATTCTTCCTAAATTGGATTTCAAATCCCACGCCGAGGCGCTGACCAGCATCCTGCTTCGTCTTAAGCAAGAAGAGCCGACGGCGGATCTTTTGAAATTATTATTTTGTCGAGAGGTGAGAGCGAAGGGGGACATGTTTGTAATATCGACGTTGAAATATTGGTGTTTGGACTACGAAGATAAATTAGGCGATTTGCTGTCGAATCTGCTGAACACTAGGAATCCTGGCACGTCGCCGAACAAGAGGAAACGACTGCCAAAGACGGGGATCAGCAATCAGGGGTCGCCCAGCATCGAACAGGTAGGAGACACATTCATATCTTCACGATTTTAATATTATTATATCGTGTATTTATTGGAATTATATTTACTTGAGACATATCTATATTTTATGCGCGAGATATACGTCCTTTTCGTCATTGGCACTTAAGGATAGTGTAAAGTACGAGTTTAAATCGTTCCGTAACCACGCTCGTATGTCGAATCGCTCGTATCTCGAAGCGATTTATCTCATATCAATACATTGAAATGCTGTTAGTTCGTTCCAGCACTGTGATTTTTGTTAAGTTTGTGAACATAAAAAATAAATTTACCATTTATTATTAATTTCCCGTAGGGTAAGTTATAGTAACCGCAAAAAATCGAAAATGCAATTTTTTGCATCTCTTTATGTTTCAAAGATTTTTGAACATTTCGGCGTACCTTAGCAAAAATGGATGTATATGTGTATGTGTGTGTGTATGTATGTTTATATACAATTTTTCATCCACGATTTCGACCCTATGGATCAACCGATTTGAATAATTCCGATTCGATTCGTATTGACAAGGAAACGTGCTGATTAGTTTTTGGCGAAGGCAGGTCTAGTCGTTCGGAAGATACGGGCAAAAAGTATTTGTATGATTCAAAAAACATTTCATTTGTATTGACGAAATGAAGAAATGATGAAACTTTTGGGAAGGCAAGTCCAGCGGTTATGGACTCTCAATAAAAATAAGTTAAAAAAATGTCGGTATGGTAGGAATATAGTAGGAAAATCATTGTTACAACTGACGCAATTTATCATTTTTTTATTTTGCCATTAACATTTTTCTAAAATACTCTAATCTTTCCTAATTTTGCTCGTATGTCAAAGCAACGAATCGCTCCTTTGGCAGCTCGTATTTCGAAACATTCGAATGTCAGGACGCTCTTAAGTCGAGGTACCACTATATTTAAGTATAAAATTGCGTACATACATTTATTTTTAGGGTTTGATTATTTTTTGTCTAGATCCTTTGTTAACCTAATTGGATTCTTATTTGAAATCAAATCAAATTTTGGCAAATTCATTGATTACGATTTATAATGTTAAGAAAATGGAAAATAGCAACCAAAAAAAAAGAAAATGTGTAAAACGTAGAGTTTGTGATCATATTTATGATTTTAATCGAAATTCTTGTCAATGCACACAAGTATTAAAACCTAAAACCTATTTAATACCTTACAATGAATTTATTCTATGAGTAAATTTTCACATTGAGAAATATTATCCAACTTATTATCGAATTGAACAGATTTATTATTTAGTGATTGATGTTTCGTTAGAACCAGTTAACTGTGATTGACGAATATATTCGTCATAGAGAAGTGATATAATTTTGTGAAAAAAAAACATTCTGAAATTTAAAGATATTCAAAATATTTTTAAGCTATGCTGTTCTAAAATAAATTGTTGTAAATGGCATCTTACCTCAAAAACAACATTTTACCTCGGTTCTGACTTCTAAAAATATTGGTTTATTTTACAAAATTGCAAAATATTATTTTTACATTCTACATCTTTGTTGGAATAAGCATATAGTACCTACATAATGTACTAAAATTGGATTAAATTCAATGAAATATTATACATGTAAATATGAGAAAGTTGGAATAGTTTTTGATGAACAGCAAAAACTATTTTCATAATAGACAGTAGAAAATGTTATTCAAGTAGCATAATCTTATTGATTATGTATAAGTACATAAATTATTTTCACATTTCGGGATTTCGGGATTTTAACCCTTCATTGCATATTTTTTTCAATTTTTTTTTTCAAATAAATCAGGGTGATGTAATTAATGCTTTAGATTAAAGAAAAAAAAATTAAAAAAATTAAAGTAAATAAATATATGTATTATGTAAAAAACAATATGATGGAAATTTACATCTCATGCATTGTCACATATTAAGCTCAGTAGTAAATAAATAAATTGTAAAATATTGTTTACTCAATTTTCTTTATTCCTTATGATAATTAAAAAAAACAATTTGCCTTAAGGTAAAATATTAGTTGAACTACTTATTTTTTGCAGTCATAGCCTCAAAATATTCTATACATCTTTACATTTCAGAATATACTTGTTTTCAAAATTTTTAAATGGGGATTGGCCACTGTTTTCTACGCATGACGAATATACTCGTCAATACTCAAAATTCTGCTACTTCTACATGACGAGTATATTCGTCAATCACAGTAAACTGGTAAATAGACGGGATTGGACATATCATCATATACTTCCCTGATCAAGAATAAAAAATATTCTTACCTAAATTAATAAACTTTTCCAAAATGTTACGCTTTTACGAGCATTCAGAATATCAAAAATGTCGTCCATGTTAATCTGTAATTTGTAAAAAAAACTATTTAGTCTATCTATCTATCTTCCATGCATAATTTATTCATGATAAAACCGCATAATTATTTTTCCACAATATGAAATGTGTTATCTTACAATTAGCTATATATCACTTTTTTATTTATAAAACGAAGCGAGCGAAGTATGATTAAATTGTTTATTTTAAATGCTTATTATTGACTTCCCGACGGAGAAGTTGGTTTCCGCCAGAAAATTCAATGTTTTTGTCAATTGTTCTGAAACAATCTTGAAAATTCAAGAAATGTTCGAAAGATATTAGTTGGAATTTGTGCTGATTAATTTTTTATAAACATCCTTCGTAATTAATTGTTAAAAATTTGACTATCACTTCGTAGTTCTTTTGCCTAAACTAAACGAACAGCCTAAAACGTTATAGGTCTAGTAAAAGAAGTTAAAATACAAATATTAGTAAAAAGATTGGGATAATAGATTTTGTTTTCGAAATGAACTGTTAAAATTTTTATTGTCTCAATTTGAAAAGGTATTGCCTTTAAGCAAAATGCCACTTACGCCTAGTTAAATATATACACTTTATATCAATTTCGCTATTAAGCAAAACATGATTGATCTATATTAAAGCTCTATTTTGATTTAAGTGACATCATTTTAATTTTGTAAAACATAATTTTTATATTATTATTATTTTTACATTTAACTTTCCGTAGGGTATTATAGAAATGGCAAAAAAATCAAAAATTAATTTTTTTATACATCTTTACGTTTCAAAGGTTTCTGAACATTTTGGCATACCTTAGAAAAAATGGATGTATGTGTGTGTGTGCGTGCTGATACAATTTTTCATCGACGATTTCCGAAACACCGATCAACCGATTTGAATAATTCAAAAAACATTCGATTCGTATTGATTAGGAGACGTGCTGATTAGTTTTTGGCAAAGGCAGGTCTAGCCGTTCCGAAGATACGGGACAAAAAGAGCCACAAAAGGCTGAACGGGTTTTTAAGAGAACGGAGCGTCCGATTTTAATAATTCAAAAAACATTTTACTTGTATTGACAAGATGAATAACTAGTAATTTTGGGAAGGCAGGTCCAGCGCTTATGACGACTTTAGCGACTTTCAATAAAAATAAATTTAAAAAAATGGTCGTTTTGCGGTCAAAAATGTTTATTATACATCAAATTATCAGATATTTTATAGAGATTTTAATAATATGTACACTTTTTGTGTAATTTTTTGTGTTCCGTACCAAGATTTTTAATTGCGGTACGGGAAGTTCCAGCAATTTGTTTTAAGGCACGATGCCATGCACCACTACTTTTATATTATTTTGATATTGAATAATTATAAATTATTGTGTTAACATTAACACTTTAGCCGAGTCTTATATTCTATGAAACATAAAATTATATATATCTTGTGCTTTAAATAGAATGTTTATTTTCTATTCAGTTTATGAATGAAGCTCTTCATCTTAAGGATACAACGAAAATAATTTACTTTTATCGTTTAGAAAGTGCCTTTCCACTATCTATTTTTATTATAAATGATATACATAAATATAAAAGGTTTTTCATAAATATTAATGGATTCACATTGGAATTAAAAATGACTTACCTTATTTTTTTTATTAATAATAAACAGCAATCAAAATTACATATTATTCTGTAAGCTATTCTGCTACGATTTAACAAGAATAAAATAGTGCTTACATATACGAAGAAATGATAATAATAATAATAATAATAATAATAAAATAACTCATGAATAATATTTTATTGTTACATGTTTGATAATTAAATTTTCTATATATTGCTAAAACAAATATTATTTTCTTATCATTAAAATATGTAATCAGTAAACACAAGACATTTATTGCCAAGTTTTCTACAAGAGTCTATTTACATTCTGTGAGTAAAAAATAAGTAAAACAATGAACCAATTTTATTTTCTATGGTTGTAGCAATTATTGTTATAATCAAGTATTTATTTATAATTTTTTCTACTTTTATATTTGTTACTTACTAAATTCATTCAATTTAGTTCAGAAGTTTTTAATTCTTTAGTTCAGAATTGTGTACTTAACGTTAATTTGATTAATTTGACTCACTGCCAGAAAAGTTGAAGTCATAATTTGTTTTAACTTGTTGAAATTCCATTAATTTTTAAACATGAACTACTTTTAGAGTTAGTTTTTGTATTTAAAATTAGTTTGAGGTTTATTGATTTAAACTGGTTAGTTTATACAAATAATAGTACTTTTACTAAAAATTACATTGAAGATGTTTAATGATTTTATGATTTAGTAATATAAATAAATAGGTTCAAAAATGCAAAAAATATTAGTAATTATTTAATTAAGAGGTACAAAACCGCGTTTATGCAAGAAATCGTATTATGCGAGATATTGGCATTAATTTTGTGTCTCAGGGGGCGTCCATTAATCACGTGATCGATTTTTTAAGGAATTTTGAACTCCCCCTCTCACTTGGTGATACGTGGTGAAATTCAAAATTTCACCCCTCCCCCCAATCATCAAGTGTATTTTTAGTTACAAGAAAAAAGTGTAAATCTTTTTTAAAAAAAAAAATCAGGTAAAAAATAATTACACGTGATATCTTACTATACCCCTCTCTCCCCCACGTTATATTTCGTGATTTT